CAACTCTAGTATATGCAGAATTTGATACAAGTCTTGATGGTGTGCTGATGTAAACTTTATTTCTATATATATATATATACTCATAAAACTAGGTGTAAGCCGCTACGGTGGTACCAAAGAAATTAATTTTTTAATTTTTATTTTATTTTATCTTCCACATCACATAGAACATTTTCTAAATCTCTATTAAGTTGCTTGCATCCTTCGAAGTTAAATTTATTTTTTTTATAAAAAACTCTTCGTTATACTCGAGGGTACAAGCATCATCATCATGCATGTGGTTCATTTCTGGTGGACCCATTTGCCTGTCTGCTGTCTCTAATTAATTGAATGTATAATAATCCAAAACTTGAAATCCACAAATTTGAAAACTCTAAACCCTCTACGGAATCTATTCATTCAATACATAAAAAAAGAAGAAGAAGGAACAACACGGAAAATTTGAAAGTATAGCTTTGTTATCCTCACAGTCACAGTTGCTTTGCGTTTGATGGGCACTTAGGGAAAGAGATCAAGAGAAGGGGACAGATGATGACATTGCCTCCATTATTTGCTCCGTGACAATTCATAGAAGCCACGTTAGTTTTTTAGAATAGGGACTATTCTATTTTCTCTATCTAATATTGCTCCATTTGTAGTTACAAAATGTAACACTTTGAGAAATAATGTTTCATACTTCGGTAATATCTGAAGCACAAATCAACAAAAAAAAAAAATATCGCCGATAGGTAATGTCTATAAAGACTACGACTTTTGGTGGTGTGGTTCAGAGTATATATATATAATCTGATTATTGTGCAATTACGGAAGCAAACATGTCACCCTTTCAATGTCTACACCGCAAAATCTACCTTCATCTTGACCTTAATATAAGATATGTTAATGAAACCGAAAAATATCCTTGCTTTCTAAAGAAAAGATCAGTGGCCCAAAAGAATATCTTGGATAATAGACGGGGAAGCGTTTGTCAATTGCAGAAGCCAAAGTGGGTGTATATGTTTGAGCAAGGTGCCTTCTAAGGCTACGATAGAGTTACTTCTTCATATCATTAATTAATTAGTGGTATAAAGTCAGAGCCTCAATTATTTTGACCTAATGTAAGTAAAATAGAAGATGGGAAATTAGGCCATGTATACAAGTCAACTTCCTCATTGAATGAACAATTTTTTATTGCTTTGTTGCTTTGATACTTTACTAGTTTCCATGGTACTTTGGATTCTAATCATGACATATAATGGGTCAGTCACTAATCACGCTTCAAAATAACCTAGTTAGCAAAACGATCCCAAATTTTATAGGAGAATGATTGGCCAAACTGAATTAGTAGATCCACAAAATTTTAGGCGTAAAACTAGCTAGCCTAGTGTTTCTTTTGTGAGGGTTTCTGAGTTAAAAACTTCACGTTTATTTCCACTTTTCAAATGATTGAAGAACAAAATTTTGACCAAAATTTCAAGGTAGTGGTAGTAGTAGTCCTGATTCCGGTTGTGCGAGAACCCAATTTTTGCTACGAGTAAACTAGCTGGGGCTTCGAAAAGCTCAATATTAATTTTTCACACCAATTTTTTTAGTTAATATAAATTTCAAATATTAGATATCACAATGGATATGTCATATGTGCAGTAAAATATTACATGGATCAATTCATCACTTCATCAGAGAGATGCACTGTAATTTACTATCATTTGTAATCTTCCCCATTAAATATAATGACATTACAGATAGCTAAGTTTACATATAATCAGATGCAATGTTTTTAGGATTGTTAAAAAATACAGGCCCAAGCCCCAAGAACAAGGATCTGTTTCATGGCTGGATGATCTTGGGCTACGTAGTACCTGACTGAATACAGCTCGGGTAATTTATCTATTGTCTATTTTTTGTTATATTGGTCTCTCAGTTCAATGCACAGAATCAGGGAACAAAACATGTGATTAATTGAACACGGACTATAATTTTTTACTCGTCCAAAGGTGACTAACTTAATTGCCCGACTCCCAAATCATTTATTAACATATTATTGCAAATAATTAGTATATAATTATAGGTAAAATTTTGTTTTTTTTATTTCAATATTCCACTCATTCCAATGGGTTAGTGTACCAAGCCAGACCGCCACTATAAATGAGATAGATAGGACCACCTAGGCTAGGCATTTTTTGTGTTCCTAACGGCCAACCACTTGATGAGGCACGCTTGAATTCTGAAAGGGCCCCTTGATGGATTTGTTTTCCAAATTAGGATACTGTCTTTGTCTTTGCAACTCTCTCGCCATATTCTAACAAGTAATTATCATACATAGATTTTTGAAGCTTAGTTTATCATCTCACAAGAGCCTATTAAGCTAAATAACTGATCTCTTAATTAACTAAGTACTATGGCATGGTATTGGTAGTGAAATGGGAAAAGAAACGGGTGGAATTGACTGACGGGAATTTAGTGTTGTGTTGTTTTGTTCCGTATCTGAGTGTGACTTGTGTGTTCATATGGGAATCAATTGCTAAGTGGTGACTGTGTCTGACATGCAACAGAGAGGGTGGGAATTCTCATGCATATTTGTCAGAAAAGCTGGCTGGCCAGGTCGTATAGTATACTCTGCTTTCAAATTTTGCTGTCTGTTGAGTGTCAACTCTAATTCAGTCCCGTGAGTTTGTAATGGCTAGTGATGCCTGACACCCTGACACGACTACTACATATTGTTCTCACTTGTGCCGTGTTTGTAATCGTATTGCAAATTAGGGTAGTAGCATATTTTCTAACCATTCCAAGCAACCAGCACTGGATGGGGTAATTTTTTAGTCCTAATGATGAAATAATGAGAACTGAGTCGTATATTGTAACATATAGAGTCACCTAAATACTTTTATTATATCAGGTAAGTTTATGTGTTACTTCTCCTTTCACTATAGAAGAGATTTTTGTGCCGCAACCAAAAATAACTATGTTTTAATAATAAGACGTAATTGTAATTTTAAAAGTTTTTTTTTTCTCTTCATTCGTCTAACGTGAGAGAGAAAAAATAACTTTAATATTATAACTATGAATAGGGTTATATTGACAAAAAAAAATTTTACGAACTTACAAACTACGTATGACCGGTAATACTCTACTCAAGAATGTATTAGCAGTCAGACATAGTGTAATTTGTAAGAGTTTGTAAATAAAATATTTGTAAATATAACTTTCTCCTATAAATATACTTTACCGATTGGATATAATTATTTTTGGTTGCTAAAAATCTCGAAGTTGGGGACCCAATCTAAATAAGTGCAGCACTAGTTCTCAATATTGTAATTGCACTAAAAATTTTCATATAGGAACGACTCTTATGTGTTTCCATTCACCGGAAGCCTGTTACAAAGCGTTTGGTTTTGAAGTCCATATCACCCTTAATTATCTGTTAAAGGCTTTCCCCTCTTGAGGATCCACAGGTAACTGAAGGCCTTAAAACTTTATGGGTTTCATGGATCCCAGCTAAGCCCAATGTTAGATGGAAAAGGATTGGAGATAACTTTTCATCCAAAAACAAAAACAAAACAAAAATGTCCTATCCATCGTCTCGTCTTTGGGCTTTTCTTCAACAACACATTAGATCAAATAGGTGTGAATATTTGTTGTTTATGTCAGTGGCTTGTCTGATTATCAAATGGACCTAAAATTACACATGCATTATTGCATTCCGTATGTATGCAAATTAGTGAAGCCATTGCCTTACCAAATTTTCTCACATGGTCCACCTTTTTTTCACCCAAAAAAATAAAATAAAAATAAAAATCGCATATTATGGAAAAAGCAGAAGGCAAAAAGATTCCTCAAAATCCTCTATTTTCAAAAAAGGTCGATCGTGCACATGGAAACATTCAAGATTTTCCTAATATGGTGTGAAGTTTAAAATCATCCTTTTTTTTCGGGCGGCGTTTGGTCGAGAAGAAATTTTTTTTTCCCGAGAATCTCAATTTTCAAAAATATGATTTCTACCTTCAGTACGATAATATCTGAAAATTAAAAATTTAAAAAAATTCAGTTTTCCGAGAATCTCCACGAATTTCGCATACCAAACGGGGCGGGGCGGGTTGACCCGCCAAAAAATATGGATTAGAAAAATGAACCCACCCCGTTTTATGGTGGTTGAAGGGTCAACCCACCAACCCGCCAATTAAAAAAATTAATTAAAATTTAAAAATAAATTGTATTTTATGAATTTTTCTAATATTATTTTATTTTATTTCACACTTCTCTATATTTTTTTAGTCTCAATCTTAAATGTATATTAATATTTGTCAAACATTCTTTAGGAATTTATATATAGATAACATTTGTCATAAATAAAATTGTTATTCTTTATTTTTCTAAGAAGTACTAAGATAAAAAAAAAAAAAATAGATATCACACAAATTTAAGGATTAAAGAAATACTATCAAATTGTAAAAAAAAATATATATTATAACCCGGCGGGTCAACCCGCCCCGCGACGGGTTGAACCCGTTTTGACCCACTTCCAGACGGGGCGGGTTGAGGTGGGTTGGTGGGTTGAAAACCTCAACCCAACCCGCCCCGTTTTGACGGGTTGACCCGCCGGGCTCAAGCCATGTTGGCACCCCTACCAAACGGGCCCTTAATGTCATTGTCATCGAAATCACTTTCGTCAATGGTACCTTTTTACGAGTGCCAAATGCCAAAGCGTGGGACAAATAAGAAACCCGAAAATCCTCCATTATAGCTTCCATACTTATCGAATTGAGAACTCGGGAATCGAGGCATCATCTTTCGGTGGCCTCCTCAAATCACGCTGAGCTCTTTGAAAACCTTTATATGAAGTCTCAACTTTCAACGCGATAACTCATAAAAAACAAACATCTTTCCTCGTAAAATAGTGGAAGAGACATGATTTTTTTTTTTTTCCTTCAACAAAGTTACTAATAATTAAGATAAACAAAATAACCCACACTATTCAGTACGAAACTTTACCAATACATGAACATGAAACATATTGAATCTTGTCAAGTATAACCTTGTTTGTATTTGCGAAAGAGATCCTCAGTTTTGGCATTCCTAAAGGCACAACACGCTGTTAAATATACTCCTATGAGAACAACGACGGTGATGATCAATATCACATTAGCCCTTTTCCACTCCTTCCTAAGACTTGCCAATAAACCAGCCTTGCACGAGTCACAGTTATAGCAAAGTTGTGTTTGATCGTTGTTCCACTGCAAGCAATCCATATCTGCTGCCATGTTGATCGGGCTAATCCAATAGGTTGGGTTCACAAACGTGTAAGCACATTGCGTTGGTGGTTTGCAACACCCTGACTACAAGTTATGAAACGAAGAAAAAGAAAAATAATTTATCAAATAATCCAACTAATCCGGTCGAGCCCAATACAAACACTAAAGTTTTTTAATACAATTATTTATATATTAAGAAAATCGAACTTGAAAAATAAGAAACAATCCTATGTCAGTTGATCCACCTCAAAAAGCTAAGAATGATTTGCACCTTGAATAACAATATGTGTTCTAAATGTAAAGTTCAAATAAGGTAAACTACGAAATTAAAACATATTTCAAACTTCATAAAGCTACATTTTCATGTTTTTATGTAGAAGTTGAAAAGTGTGTGAAAATGTAATAAGACAAGGAGGTGTGGGAAGTTAAGAAACAAAGAGGGTAATAAAGAGACTAAAACCATGCAACGAAACTGAAACCAAAGCATTAGAAAAATAGAGTTGAAATAGAAAACATGATATAGAGAAAAATGTTCAATTAAAACAAATTAACATGGGTATTACCTGCATGGGTGTTAGATGGGCGTTAAAAAAGTCCTGAGCCATTCGGAAACTTTGGTTCAACTCAGCACACATGTTTGTTGAGCTAAGACAGCTTCTGATGCTATCCCACTTGAATGAACTTCTAACCCTTCGACGAAGAAAGCCTGAGAAGTCATCCATATGATATTCCAAGTAAGCTCGGTTGGGTTCAATGTTACCATGACCTCGAAGTGTGACCATATAGATGAAAACCACCAAGCAAACCAGCAATATTATGAGCACAAGCATGGCAATGAGGTAGAATATTAAGAGCCAAGAGATTCTCCAAAAGGCTCCAATGAAACCTGCCAGAGCCACAACCAGGATTAGAACCCCTAGGATGATGACAGGCCATTGTAGAAACTTGACACAAGTATTGGCTGGCTCATTTGTTAGCCAGATTCCAGCACCAATGATTGGGATTGAGAGTAGCACACCAACGAAGTTTATGGCTCCGATGACATTGTTGCTCATTGCCATCTTGGTAAAGAGAAAATTCAGATGACCTGGTTTAATTTGGAGATGTTTATGGATTTTGTTGTTTCTTAAAAAGACTAATTGATGGAAAAATTAAATGGAAGTGGGGCTTAGACAGTATACATGAAAAGGTGTGAATTTCGTGTATATAGATGGAGTGGTCTTTATTATCCTACCCCACTCAAATTAATTTCTTCCTTACCTTGGATACCAGAAAGCGGTTAAAATATTTTATATATATTTTTTTCCTTTTTTTCAAATACTTTTATTATTAATAAAATTTCATGGTAGTTTTTTTACTACTAATTCTCATTATTTAGTAGAATAAAGAAGGCGAGCCAGTTACTTATTTATGATTGAAAGTTTATGGTTCGAATTGCAAAAATAATATTTTTACAAATACGTAAAGATGAGGTCATAAGGATGCATATAAAAATTATCATTACCTCTATTCTCATTAATCAGGGTTTAGTAAGGAGTGAAAGTTTTTTTTAATTATTTTGTAGAATAATATAAGATTTTATTCAATCATAAAAAAATATTATTTACATGTTTGTGTCAATAATTTAAAATTTAGGATTTTAATTTGTATTTTTGAATTATCATTCTTATATTAATTTTTTATATAGTAAAATTATAAAAAAAATATTTCAAGATGATTTCTCTATTTTTTTTCTTTTGTATGAAAAAGTTTACAAAAAGAATGTTGAAACGAGGGGTGTTTGGTACGTGGGATTTTGAGAGATTCCCGGGAAACTGAATTTTTTTAAATTTTAAATTTTCAGATATTATCGTAAACTGAATGCAAAAATTATATTTTTAAAAATCGAGATTCCCGGACAAATAAAAATTTCTCCTGTACCAAAGTACCAAAGCATGTGATAACATCAGCTTCCCCTCAGTAATAGCTATATCTCTATGATATATTAAATATAAGCTGAGTACTTTGATATTATTGTCAAATTTAAAATTTAACATTTTATCTGAGAGTTATCAGATAAAAAAGATCAATGATTCTAATTTATAAGCATGTGACACCATTAATTTTTTTTTGATCTAACGACTCTCAATGAGATTTCAAATTTTAAATTTGACATTGATATCAAATGATGCTATCTCTAAATATAATATTGCATCACACGTCACACCTAAATACGGCATGGTAAAATGGTCATTTGGCTGGGATAACTTTTTGAAAAGTGATACCTTGTACAGTACATAGGGAAGAGAGGAGAGCAAAAAGGCGGGAAAGGAAATGGTTGCCAGCTATCTGTCATAGGTGTAGGTGATGGGTAAACCCCAGAAGAAAGAATCGTTATGTACTTACTCCTGATTATTTTCAGCATCTAATTTGACTTATTTCACATATTCTAATAACTTTTCTAGCCCACACGTTCACATTCATTTTTAACATAAGATATTATAATTTTAACAGTGTCATTCTTATATTTTACTTTTCATATCTTTACTTTATACTTTAGAAAAAGGGAAAAAGTAAATTTTTATTTTTTTATCTGAAAAAAGATATAGAATGAAAGTACAAAAAACATAAGCGTAATTTTATTATTAAACTTATGATTTATATGTTTTCTGTTCAAATTCTTAGTCATTTGAATGATTTGAACTACACGGAAGTGGCCTTCTTTTCATTTTGATTAAAGGTAGGTAGCTAGAAAGAATAATACTCTTAATACATCGTTATTTATTGCACGTATTTCTTAGGGCAGTTGGTGTTTTCGCATTCCTATTCTTTTTTCTATATTATTCATATATTTACCAATTATTTTATTATTATAGAATTATATGAACGACAAAGTTCATTTTATCAAATTTTAACAATTATATTATGCAGAATTCAAACTCAACATGTATTAAGTTGGAGTAATAAAGGTTGTTCCATGTACTTGTGTGTTAGGGATGTTCATCAACCGAACTAAACCGATTCAAATCGCAGTGATCGAATCGAAAAATCGAAAATTGAAAACTGAAAAAAAAAATCGTAAAATTTAATTGGATTGGATCGAATTTTGGATTGGTTGGTGAAAATCGATCCAATCCAAATCGATCCGATGATTCGTCAACCTTATTATCTACCTACTTGGGCCTTTCTCCAATCATAGCCTAAACACCATATAGCAAAATTCTAAATCCAAGACCCATTAACCCATCATGTTGGAGAAAGTGGGTTGTGCTTGATCTATGTTATGCTTTTTTTCGGTAAGATACATGATATATTTTTATTACATGGGTTATTGTTGTACAACAGCTCCTTTATAAGATGAAAATTTGTGTTACTTCACATCTCAGACAACCATATTATAAATATTTTCTTTGAGGTAAAAGATGGTAATTCAATTTTTTGTTGTACAATGCTTATAGATTGCACAATAATCATCATACAAACTTTACAAAGCCGATACATATAATAGATATGTTATTTGCACAATAATTATCATACAAATCTTAGGCTTTTCAAAAAATCAAAAACTGATCCAATCCAAACCAAATAAAATTGGAACGGATCAGATTTGAAAAAAAATTCAAACTAAATGGATGATTACATAATTAAACCGAAAGGATTGGATCAGATGATTTTTGCTTCCAACTATGTTGCACCGACACCGACACGGGACGCGAGATACGACACGCCGACACGTTAATTCTAAAAAATGTTAGATTTCAACACGTTAGGACATGTTTTGATATTAAATAATAATTTAATAGATAATATATTTATATTTAATACATATATCAATATATAATAAGTCATATAACTAATCAAATATTTAAATTTTATAACATAATTTTAAAAAGATAAATTTCTATCCTTTAAAACATAAAGTCAAAAATAGAGTTATTAATTAAGCCACAATTAATGATTTGTGCAGAATTTTAAAAACACCTAGAAGCAAGTACCGATTGGGTCAATGTGGCATACTCATCTTCCAACTAGCATTGGATAACAGCTCATTTTTAATAACAAAAAAAAGGGATGAAAACTATGGATACCTCATTTTTTAGCATCCAGTGGATGAGGATAAGGCCAAATAATAATAAAATAAACCGTTTTGTTTTCTTTCTTCATTTTTTTGTTTTCTTTCTTTCACTTCTTTTGTTTCCTTCATTTTGTTTGGAGGTTAACGATGCCGATGGCATGCGCCTATGTGTTATTTGATGTCTTGAAGACGACGAAGGTGTCTGAGGAGCGGTGCAATATGACAACGTCACCGACGTCTTCATCGTCGACTAGTACGAACAACGATGTGTCGTCGGAGAGATCAGTGGTGGATGATGAAAGTGGAGAAAACGAGGATGAGAGTGCCTACGATGGACCCTTGCACACCATAAAAACCTTGGAAGAGGTTCTTCCCGTCAGTACACAAATTTTATTTCTATAAAAATTTCAAAATTTTTACATTTTTACGCTATGACCGTGTCGGACACGGTCAAAATCGCGTGTCCCAAGAGTCAACATGTCCCAAATTGTTGACCGCGTGTCGAAATGTGACGGAGCGTGTTGGTGTCCGACATGCATTTTTTCTTAAAAAGAACGTATCGGTGTATCACGGGCTTCCAAAACTGATCTAATCCAGACCGCGAACACCCTTATTGTGTACTTCCCTTTTATATTTATTACTCTTATCAATAGTAGTGATAAACCCAGATAGGCTCGGCTAGGTCAATCCAGGAACCAATAAATCAATTCAAATGAAGCAGTAGATCGGCCAAGCATTGAACCGGTATGAACCAGTGCAACCCGTTCATTTTTGCTGAAAATCAGTGACCTGGCCGATTCTACCAGTGACCCGACCGGTTCATAAAAAAAAAATTTCAAATTTTTTTTCCTATAGGATATCATTTTTTTTAAATTCACAAATGGTTTTTTTTTAAAAAAAAATATTTGAGTGACTTGTTGCTTATTGACTTACATAGATTATGTAACTATAACACTAATATTATCTTAGTTATGCACTATGCAATGAATTTTTATTTAATTTATAGCTAGAGATGTCATCTACTGAATCTGAAGTACTCGTATCACAAGCATTATATGTTTGTTTGATCATTTGTTAAATAATGTGTGTGATTTATTATTTTTCGTATTAAAATATTTGAAATTGATATTACTTTTTACAAGTACTTGACTATGTTTATAATTTTTTTAATATAAATTATAGATTTGCATATATTTATCGGGTCATGCAGTTAAATCAGTGATACAATGACCTAGTACCTCAATTGAGTCAATGATCGAGCTGGGTTTAATCATTGCTTATCACTTATGTTGCACCGACATTTTTAAAAACCTGAAGTGTCCTGTCCGACACTCTCCAACACTTTGACTCACTTCGACATCTATAATATTTAAAATTTTATTACATATCATAAAAAATATAATTGATATTTTACTAAACTGATATAATAAAAATTAAAAATAAATATCGAATAAATATCACTAAAGTGTATAAGAGATTTTCAATTTGAAAAATATAATAGTAAATATTTACATTTTATGTTTCTTTGCAAAATTGATGGGTATTATAAGTTTAATTGTATTTTTTTATTAAATTATTGATATTAAATACAATATACACTATGTAATATCCAACAAATTTAATATATATATCTTTAACAAACATATCTTTGGTAATCGATTATCAACCTCGTTACTGTAGAGGGAGTATCTCAAAACTTCCTCCCTTGTTTTTGGTAATCGATTATCAAAGATGTGTTAATCGATTACTCAACTAGGTAATCAATTACCATACTCAAGGTATTGATTACCAGCCAAGACAATGGCTGATTTTTGCCTTCCCTGTTTCAGGTAATCACTTATCCTACTGGGTCAAGCCATTTTGACAGCATTTTGGTACATTATGGACCATAGGGACTCTTCCCTAAACTCACATAGAACCTAATAGACATTATATTCAATTAATCTAGCATGCATATAGCCATATTAAGGCTTATTCACATGGTCTATCCACGAATTTCTTAATGAATACCCAACTATCTCATATACACATATCAAGTGGATATAACATCAAAGTCCATTACATATTATCCAAATGTACATATACAAGTCCACGTACAAGTCTCCAAAATGAGTTATAATATACGCAAAAGATACATAAGTGAAATAACCTATACATATGACTCAACGTATACCCATATGCATAATAAAAAAAAAGGTATAGACATCCCTATACTCTCCAAAAATACATATATGACATATGAGATATAAATATACACATCAAAATAAATCCCACAAGCATGCAATATCATGGCATTCTAGCCTGACCTCGCACCCTGTGATGCTCCTGCACTTTCAGTACCTGCACCTGAAATCCCCATAATATGGGGTGAGATGTACATATATATCTTAGTAAACCAAGTTTCCTTGGAGATTTCCTCCACCTCCAAGTTCACTTCAGCATAAAAGCAATAAATCATATGATACAACATATACATATCCATGCTATGCAAATAATGCTCATCCAAACATTCCTCCAGAATGCTCAGGCAGCAATAACAATGAATCCTACGGGCCAAAGAAACTATACTCTATGAATTACACAAGGAAATCTCCTTGATACATACCAAGTACAAGAATATAGCATACACATACATATATCAAATGCATCACATTAAATCCTTGCAATTACATATGCCACATAAACCACTACCCCTCCAGGGTATGGTGGAACAAGCATTGGATCAATCCCAAGGTCTGAAAGCTTACCTGCAATAGCTTTTCTATCAAATCTTTCCTGCACACCCAAACTGGATCCAATGAGATTCAAGTATCCAATGGATTCATGCTCTTTATTCCTCCATTGAAGTCACTCCTAGAATCAAATGACAACAAGGAATATCAATCACCATTAACCATTTACTTGTATTACAAGAAATCACCCTTATTTCTGTGTGCATTTTTCGAAAATCTTAAAGATTGAGCAAAGGATGATTTAACTTCATTTCTACCAATTATTTAGGTTCCTTAACATATATTCCAACATGAACTAAGGCCCAATATCAACCTAACCTCATCATCCATGAAATATATCTAAAATGACAACCTAAATATAGACTTATCAAAAACTTAGATAGAAATGGGCTTTCTTACCACTAATGGCTTCACAATCAAGCAAGGAGTAGATTCCAACCTTTTGGCGAGATCAAAAAAACCTCCATTGCTCCCATACTTCACAAAATCGCCACTTTCCCCTCTATTTTTCTCCTCACACATACACTTTCAACCAATTGTGAATTATAGGTTAGGTTTGTAGGGAGTTTTAAGCAACTTTGGTTTTTACTTCAAGGCAAATGGATGACTACACTAGAAGTTTGAAATCAAGCTTCCAAGGCTATGGTGTTTGCGGGTTCGCATGCAGGAAAAAAAAGAAATTAATGAGTTTATGTGCAATGACTTAAGATATTTTAACTTACATATGTCAAAGCAACTTTAAGCGGTATTCCAATCATGTCCTCTCACCATTTAACTAATATGACGTGATTTTAGACTTTCACTAAAATTATTTTACTATTTTTCATTCAATTATTTTTAAGTTACATGTAACTTTTGCCTACTAGCAATTATATTTCTTCCAAAACTCTCATTTTTTTGCACGTTTTCCAAATATGTCTTATTTTTATCTAATTAATTTCTCACCCCAAATAGACCAGAATTACTATGATTAAACCATTAATCAAAGCTTAAATTCATATTACACAGGTTATGATCATTATAAGATGACCCGCAAGGGAATCAAAATGGTTATAGGGTAAGGGACGCCTTTACATGGCTTGAGCTCCGCCATACAAAATCTTTTACATAAAGAACCCCAAAATTTGGGCACTCACAATTTGAGCATTAGTCATTTCAGTTAAAGACTACACGTTCCTTTATATGCTTGTATGCAGAAACTCACAAAAATTTTGGTGTGTTTGTATATATAACCCACACAAAGATTTTGGTATGTCTGAATGAAGAATTCAAAAAGGTCTTGGCTTATATTCATTATTCATGATATTATTTTCTGATTATAAACATATTTTGAGAGAATAATATTTCCAGTAAAGTGGCTGAATTGGGTATAGTATGAAAACTCTAATATTACTGAGATTTTTCTCACGAGTGTTTATGTTAACCTTTCTAGAAAGTAAGTATGTCGATATATGTAACTTTAGAGTAGGATAAAGCATTATGGTTAAAGACTATATCGAGTTCAGTGGAGTAGCTGATTGAATAGAATTGTTTTTTTTTTAGTTTAGATGATGATGATATAATATAGTCCATTTTAAATGTAATAGTGAATTTGACTTCTGTCTTAAGTATACTCAAATTTTAAGAATATTTTAACATATGTCTTATTTAATATTTGATGTGTTAGAACCTCATTAAATTTCTCATCCTCTTATTTAAAATAAGATTTAACAATTAAAGTAATATCTGCTATGCTAGCTAGTTATAGGGTATGTTACACACTACATAAATTAAAATTTTTTATTTAATATCATCATGTGTTTTAATGTGTTAAAATTTAACTATTTTGGGGCTTCGCCCCTTAATGTTATCAAAAAAAAAAATCTAACTATTTTAAAATCAACATATCAGAATATTATGTTGTGTCCTATATTGGTGTCTCTGCAACACAAGCACTTACCATGATTCAACAAATAATGTAACTAAGTTTTTTAATATTTAAAGAAGAGAAGCATTATTTTTATAATCTAAAAATTTTATAACTTTTTAAATTTTATTTTTTCATCGTTAATTTTATAGAACAAATCAACGTCAATCTAACGCTTCTCTTTAAAGAATGAAAAATATAAACGAAATGTGCAATACTGTCCCTTATCTCTTTCTCCACCCCGTTGTGTTGTTGTGTTCATACAACAAACCAATGACTACTTTAGAATCAGCTCTCGCCGTGTTCGCACCTCATCGTTTTTCCAATAACTATCGATTCACTGCAAAACCACCCCATTCCATAAAGTTCCATGGTCCCACCTCTCTCTTTTCTCTTTCCCAAAACCTACTCTTCTCTTCCAAGTCCACCTCCAAAACCCGAAAACTCTGCTTCGAGTTATGCTCTGCTTTGCAAGAGGTAGCAGCAACACCAACAACAGAGGAAGAACCAGAGCAAACCCAACCAACAAACAACGCCAAGACGAAGCTCTACGTGTTTAACATACCTTGGTCTCTCTCATCGTCAGACATCAAGGAACTCTTTGGCCAATGCGGAACTGTAACCGACGTCGAGGTTGTTTTAATATTCTGTTTTTGCGTGACATAAACTAGGGCACGCAGTTTTCGAATTTTAATTTTGAAAATTATGGTTTTTATTTGGGATTATATGTTATTAAGAATTTTTTTATCTTATTCCGGAATAGGACTATTTTGTTGATGTGTTTAGTTACTTTGACTCAATATATAGACCATTTTCACGTTTTTTCTGCATAATGATACAATATTGATATTTCATTTTGTTTGTCATGTGAATGGAGTACTTTTTGAAGAGTCTGAACTTAGTATTCTAAGTCATTGTGTAATTTGGAGAAATGTGTTTTGGTTATAGTAGATAATAAAGAACAAAAATGGGAAGAGCAGAGGATTCGCCTTCGTTACTATGGCTTCTGGGGAAGAGGCTCAGGCTGCTGTTGATAAATTTGACTCTCATGTAAGTTGCTTCAATTTTCTTTATATTATATATATATATAAGGGCATATCAAGAAAGAGAACGAAAGGTGAAAGAGTTAATTTTGACAACATGAGCAATCAAGATTAGCTCTTACACTCCCTATGTAATGTATATTTAGTTTTGTCCAAAGAGTAAATTGGATCAGTCTTATGGTGTTTGTTCTAAATTGGGTGTTCGTTGCTTCCACTGTGTTAGTATTTGGTCTTTGTTGTGGTGAATAACTCCGATGAATATCTTCTCAATGGGGGCTCTAAAATTATGAATCTTCTTAAATGGTAGAGACTATAGTCCGTAATGAAAGAATCCTCTAGTGTAGTAAACCAAGGAATCACATCATTTTGAATATGTACGGAGTTATGCAAATATAACCCAGAGAGTGTATAAGTCAAATGAAATGATGATAAAATACATAATTGCTTTCCACACAAGCCATAGCCAGTTCATTTTATTCTCAATCCTGTTATACCACCTCCACCTCTTACTTTCCACATTTTTTTGCTGCATACTGTAGTACTTACAAGAGATTTTGAAGTTTAGTAGTTTGAGGTCCAACTGAACATGATACGCAACAACTTGTCTCAACTTGGTTGGGACTCTACAGATTTATTCTAAAGGCTAGGGTTTATTATAGTGTGAACTATCGTTTCTTCAATACCTTTCTGCTCTCGTGGAAGTGTGATTTAATTTTATGTTTTTTATGCACATCCAAGAGTCTACCAGCATTTTACAACAAAAATTGGCATCTTTACCTAAAAAGGAAGTTGTCACTTTCCAGTGGCATGTAGTAGGATCTCCTTATAAATGTGAGACCATGTTAATGACCTTTATATATGTTTTACATCTGGCAAAGCACTTCTGACATCCTGGAAAGCAAACCTTTAGGGGCGATTCTTTGAGATATCTTAACTAGTGTCTAAAGTGAATGAAAAATAAATTTAGAAATATTGCTTTGAAAATATCTTTCAAATCTGTATCACAACAATTTTGTTGACTTAAAATTGTGGGATTCAGGAAATATCAGGACGGATAATAAGGGTAGCGCTTGCAAGGAGGTTCAAGAAACCTCCTCCTCCACGTCCTCCAGGCCCCCCTCCTGGTGAGACACGTCATGTAATTTATGTATCCAACCTTGCATGGAAAGCAAGATCTACCCATCTCAGAGAACTCTTTACTGAGAATTTTAAGACGCCAGCTACAGCCAGAGTTGTCTTCGACAGCCCTTCTGGAAGATCTGCTGGGTATGGATTTGTTTCTTTTCTTACAAAGGAGGAAGCTGAGGCTGCCATTTCTGCTATGGATGGGAAGGTAATAATCATCTTGTTGATGGTTACTTGCTCTGCTATTTCTTTACAGATGCTGATAAATTTTGCTATTTCATGACCGAGCTAAACTAATTGTGTTCATCTTTTATATACAGTAAGATTTATTGACTTTAAATAGCTATGCTTGTAAAAAATAATCTTTAATCAAAATTATCTTTCGTTAAATATCTTTACATAGCATTTTAGGTGTTCATGTTTAAGTTCAAGAGAATTATACTATAGCTTTCTTGGATGTAAAATCACAAACTATCTCAAGGAGACTCAATTATTTTCTGGATTATGATGGCTAAACGATATTTGAGTTTCTAGGTTATAGTTGTCTTTGTGTTTGAAAGATTTTAAATGGCTGGAGGAATACAGGCTGAGTTTAATTGAAATGGTTTTGTTTCATATTGCCATTGTGAAGATTACAAGGCTACATATGGTTGCTTCGACCAACATATGAACCAGCCTATAAACTTCCATCACCTTCTGATTTGTTACTTGCTCTTTATATTCTTTACTGTTCTAGATTTATGTACACAGATTTTGATTCTAGATTTTTTTTCTTTCGGCAGTTGAACTCATTCGCTGCCATAATTACAATTCTAGAAAGTGGGCTACTGCCCTATTTAGCTTTCTGCTAATAGTTTTGTGATACGTAATAGAATCAAAATTTTAAATGATGGTTTCCACATTTTTTATAAATTTTTTTTTTTTTTTGGGTTATAGTAAGTGCCTTCATTTGCATCTACTAGTATTTTCTGTGCCAATACGCTTTTACAATGGCCAGAGTATTATGTGACTTGCCAAGTATTGGATTCGAGTTGCAATTCTGAATGGTGCTTTTGTTTTAAACTAGGCATTATTTGGATCGTTGTTAAGCTTAAGTATGTAGGTGCCTTTGAAAAATGCTACATTACAATGATGCTAGAGGTTAATTTAAGATAGTATTGAGTTCTTATGCGGCTTTATGGTTAAGTTGAAGTCGGATGGTGCTATTGGTTTTCATCTTGTATGTAGAACTGCCAGCGAGAACAAAAATGAAGTGGAAATAAGATGACTGTGGCAGACAATTTATAACAACTAATGTTGGAAGTTGAATTAAACTGGATGTCTTAAACAAAATAGACAAGATGAATGGACTAGTAATTAAGTTTTCAAATTTACCAGCTGTTTATAAGTTCTATACAATGAAAGTTGTGGAGTTACCTGAATTTCATGTCTTGAGGAGTTAAAAAGGAGCATCGGGGTGAGATCACTTGTCTGTTTTTCATTCTTTATTTGATTCAACTCTTTCCTTACAACCCAAGTTGTGTCCATAGTACTCTATGAGTGAGTTTCCTCTTGTTTGTTCTAAAGTCACTAACTTCAACTGCATTATGTGGATAAAATTTCCGCTAGTCATTTCCTGCTCTAGGAAAATTCTTCATCCGTTACCTATCCCTTTGCAGGAGTTAATGGGACGACCACTTCGCCTCAAATTCAGTGAAAAGAAAGTTAAAGAAGCTGGAAGTGAAAACAATGATGAAGACCAAGTTGATGATGCTCAGCTGGAAGAATCATAAATCCTAATTATTCATTTACTGATCTTTGGTCGTGGTATGTGGATTGAGAGGAAACCTCTACGAGCTGGAATTTTGCCTCATGTATACAGAATATTGATGGATGGCTCTTTGCATTCACAAATACCTTTGAAATGTGGGTGAAAATTCAAGAAACTTCTCAGTTTTTCATATAAATCTCTTATCTGAATTTTTTTCACTCCCATTTTTAAGGGTATTCTTCAGGGTTGATAAAACTCTAAAATCTTGTTAATTATTTAATAGTTGCAAACCATGTACATTGAGACTAATTATGTTCAATCCATTATCTTGGAACCATAGATATCCATCTTGTACGCATGATTCCAAAGTCTGAACCTTTTTTTAAACTCTTGGAATTTCATGCATATATCGAGTTTCTAGCTTCAATGGTCACTTCACTAAACTGCATGAATTACTAGCTACGGGGGAAAAAAAAACTTTGTGTACGCTTGTGATGACCCGCATCCAAATCATCTGCGGTTTCATTATTCTGAGGCCAAAATACTGACGTGAGTGTAAGAAGCAAATTAAGACATTCCGCTGAGGCATTTCTGTTTGAGTTTGACATGATGACATGTCTGTTGGGATGACTTGGGCTACACTACTATCCTAAGGTGATGACAATACAGTGAGGAGGTAAATCTATAGGCTAAAGCACCATTTTAAAGTTTTTGGACAAAAGAATTGTCCGGTTGAAGTTGATTGGATAAGTTTTTCCAAAGTAATGCAGTCAAACATGTTACCTATGCTGACGGGACTCATGCCACGTCAGCGCCACGTAGGCAGTCCAATTACCGTAAATCTTCGGAAGAGCATAACTTGTGACTCGGGTATCCAAATCAGATAATTTTTTTTTTGATTTCACATAACTTTTCGAGATCTACGCAATGATACCTCATTTGACATATTTTATCTCCCACAAACATAGTTTGAATTTGTAACAATTGTATCACAATCACAAGAGTGTTTATTCATAAGACTATGTTTGTGGGAGATAAAATATATCAAATGAGGTATCATTGCGTAGATCTCGAAAAGTTATGTGAAATCAAAAAAAAAATTATCTGATTTGGATATCCGAGTCACAAGTTATGGTCTTCCGAAGATTTACGGTAATTGGACTGCCTACGTGGCGCTGACGTGGCACGAGTCCCGTCAGTATCAGTGACGGACGAGACTAGTCCTGTCAGCATAGGTGACATGTTTGGCTGCATTACTTTGAAAAAACTTATCCAATCAGCTTTAACCGAACAATTCTTTTGTCCAAAAACTTTAAAATAGTGCTTTAGCTTAAATCTATACTAGCTGATGTTTTGTTGTGGCCTAACCCTGCATCTTGTACAATGAAGAACTTTTCTTGTCAGTGTCACTTGCACTCTCATAAATTGTTTGGGTTTCTCTGCAGTTGAGAATCTCACCGTGATTTTTTTTAACATATTGAGAGCCTATAGTGTCCAAGTAAAAAATTTCACATCATCCTATAAGCGAAATTCAAGGGGGGAAGTTGATTGTTTGTGGAATGTGCATATAATCTGACCAAGATTATATTCTCTGCTGTGTGTCTCCCACGTTTAACAAATTATTGCGACATCTGCTTTTTAACGAAAATAAAGCTCAACACGTTTTTATCTGTATTATTTGACTTTATTATAAAACTGATATCAAATCATATTAAAACTTCTGTATGCAAATTCATATGTAATTTAACAATTTTATAATCTCCTTAAAACCCATACTTTGCAGGTTTAGTATATAATCTCCTTAAATACGAAATTATCCAAGGAAAAAAGAAAAAGGAAAAGAGACTCAGTGACGTGCCAGCTAAGTCTTAATAGTAACAGTGACTTGAATGTTTAAAAATGAGGGTCCTCTTTTCTTTTGTTGTCAAAAGACTAAAAAGGAGTTAGATCAGGAGTGTCTTGGCTTTTGTGCATATGATTATGTCTCTGCACAAGTTGAAAAAGAGCCCGATTCTTAGGCATTATGACGGCACATCATTCAAGCTAATAATTTCGTAAATACAGACAGCAGGAAAAAAAGGAAAATATTTTTTGAATTCAGTTCTTTAGGGAACAGCGACATTTTGTCACTCCTGTCAAAAAAATATATTAGACTGTCACGTCAATAGTAAATTATTTCAAAATATCACGCGGCATATTTCGTTACATTATGTAGCGAAATATATTTGCATATAATTCGCTACACAGTGTAGCGAAATATGTCATGTCAACATGCACGGTCAGCAAAAATGACACGTGTCAAACAAGAAGAATCCAAGCATAATTCGTTACACAGTGTAGCGAATTTTTGGCTGACTGTGCATGCTGACATGACATATTTCGCTACACTGTGTAACGAATTATATACAAACATATTTCGTTACACAATATTGCGAAATATGTCGCGTGACATTTTAAAAAAATTTACTATTGACGTGACAACGTGATAAATTATTTTGCGAGGTGTGGCAAAATCGTCGCTCTCTCATTTTCCAGGTCATGCGAGCAATTGGACGCCTAAACTGACCGATAATTTAGCAAACCATGTTTTGCTTGGAGAATAAACTTAGTTTTTTTTATAAAAGCTAAGAGAACAATTTTTTTTTTGGTAAGCTAAGAGAACAAACTTTATTAATTAATGATATTCCTTCCATTAATTATTTTAACTAAAATTAACAATATACTAAAATTTTCTTATCGTAAGCATGTCAAACATGAATATTTAAATTAATTTTCATTATCTTATGAAATATTCTCCCACTTATCATAATATATACTTTCTCATTTATTCGAAGAAAGCAACATCTACTGTATGATCCGAAACCAACTTGAAGTATGATATTTTGTTAATGAATCGTTGAAAATAAGTGTGCATTAGGGGAAGAGAAATAAAAGAAGATCACATCTAGATTCTAAAGAAATAAGATCACATCTCTTTGCTTCTCGTGACCACAAGACGGCTAGACCCATAGGTTAATTTTATTCTAGCCATATATATCCCTATGCAAACGCAGGGAATCATTTGATTTGGAACTTCGTAGATAAACACAAATCTAATAGGATTGTGTGGCTTCAGACAGAGGGAAGCCCGTCAAGTGAAATTGATAAGAGAAGAGATGGCTCAAGGTTTCTGAGGAAATGGTTGGTAAGGTGTTAGGTGAAAAGTGACAACTATATTTGACTGTAATTCGCTTTAAAACATGTACTTTGTTATTAAACTGTGCCTTTATTCCCTCGTGAATATATTCTCCTAATCAAGTTGACTTGCAAAATAATTTAAGTTATCATATGAGTAAAGATTATTCATGTAACTTGGAGACTTTTCATTTATAGTTATCTATAATTTTGGAGGATTATAGTTCTAATTTTGGATTTAATTTTAAATATTGGGATATGCTAAGTCATATTTCTGTATAAAGTTGGGATCACACTTGGCCTCAAGTTGTGGGGGAGAAAGATACTTACTGTTGGGATCATAGAGAGAATATATGCAAAGTAAAACAGGATAGTCATATGTTTAACACCCACAAATTAAGGAGATATGATGCACAGAGTAGACAATTGTGCACCATATTTAACGACAGAAGTCCTAGCGTTCCCAACACATAGATTCACTGCTAAACTGGTTTTTGGATCTTCTATTTTTTTTCCAACAATATTGTTATTTGTTTACACTCTAGTCCCTACATGACACAATTTATTAGGAAATTTCTTTCTGAATTTGTTTTGCCAACAGGCAATAACATCATAGTGATATACACTGAAAGCAAAAAGCCTGAAATTTCCAACATATCCACTTGTGTGTGTCAGATACAGCTAACTTTACAGCCAATTTGGCTCCACACATAGCTAGACCCTCATTAATGAAGTTCTTCAGTTAATTTGGATGTCACTTTGTAAAGGACTAAAATGTCCTGCTACTTGTACTTGAATAGTTTTCAGGTTAAAATACTTAAAAGAGAAAAGTATTTCTATTTTATAAATTCTCAATCAACATCACAAGTTCACCACCTTCTCCTTAGTCAACAAATCATAGTAACCAAGAAAGATAAACTAGAGGGCAGAGAAATCTATGAACAGAAAAAGAAAAAGAAAAAGAAGGTGAAAAAAAAAAAAAAAGTTAAAGCACGCTCATCAGCACCCCATTTTCCTTGTCTTTGCCCTGCTTACTATCTAACACCTTTGGCCCCTTTTCCACGCTATCTTTTCCCTTGATAGAAACATAACCTCTAGCAAGTCTCCCTGTCTTCTTGTCCTTTCTCTTGCACTTTCATGTATATTCTATAAGACCATTACCCAGCATCTTGCTTGTATGCTACTAATCATTGTTATGAGATAAAGCTTCTCAGTTCTCACAATCTCAACCTTTAATTTTTCAGGTTATAACGTAACATATACATCTTCTATGTGTTTGCTTACTGCAGAAGCTCTTGCTATGGTTTTGTAACTTTTCTTGCTTGCTTCTACGTTTGTCTGAAGGTCAAGTTCTTCTGTTTTCAATTCTAATGTTCCATCAATCATAGCTTACTTTTGTTCTAAGAAAATCCACTTTGCCATAGAAGGAGGAAATATGTTTATAAGATTGCTCATGTGTTAGCATATAGTATATACTGCTACTAAGGTTCTCTTGCCATGGCATCTCTAGGAAACCCAAGAACTTGGGTTCCATATATGAACAGCAAAGACTGTTCTCAAGGATTTTGTAGCTTGTACTGTCCACAGTGGTGTTATGTGGTCTACCCTCCTCCTCCTCCTCCTCCTTTTGAATTTCCTGATGATGATTCAAGTCCAAATTTCTCCCCTCTCGTTATTACAATCATTGGGATCTTGATCAGTGCTTTTCTTCTTGTGAGTTACTATGCTATAATATCCAAGTACTGTGGTGGCAGAGAATCTTCACAAAGGGAAAACCATGAAGCAAACGTTGAATTGGAAGAGAATCATAACCCTTCACTCCATGAGCCGTGGCATGTTTCAACCACAGGCTTAGATGAGGCTTTGATTAAGTCCATAACAGTTTGCAAGTACAAGAAAGGTGATGGTTTGGTTGATGTAATAGATTGCTCCGTTTGTCTCAGTGAGTTTCAAGATGATGAAAGTATTAGACTCTTGCCAAAGTGCAGCCATGCTTTTCATCTTCCTTGCATAGACACATGGTTAAAATCTCACTCCACTTGCCCTCTATGTCGTGCTAGCATATTTACCTTCAATGCTGCAGCATTTAATGTTCCAGTCCCAGTGATAGAACTTCCTTCAAGGAACGAAACTTCTTCAGCAAATCAACATGCAGATGAAAACTTAGCTGTTGGAAGAAACAGTGAATTGGATGCAGTGGAAGAAGAAAGCATGCATGTTAGAGCAGTTCCAAAGACTGCATTGCGTGCTTTTAGTGATTTAAGCAATTTGCAGGGAAGGCATAGTATAATTGAGATTAGAGATGAAGACTATGAATCTATTAGAAGGTCAGTATCCATGGATCATTCATTCCAAAGTGGTCTTTCAGTTGCTGATGTTCTGAACATGAATCAAGACCAAGATTCCCAAGTAGAAGGATGTTCTAATGAAGTTGGTCCATCAAAGAGATCAAGTGGTGAAAGTAGCAAGTCTAGTAGCTATAGAAGAAGGGTTTTGCATTGTGTTTTGAGTCCAATTACAATGAAGAGATCCTTTTCCAGTGGAAGATTCTCGCTTACTAGGAATGGCAGAGGAAAGCAGGGGATTTTGCCTGTCTGAGAAATCCCTTTTTCTTTTTTCCTTTACCTTTTTTCTCATCCTCTTTCTGAAAGTATGATCAAGAAGAAGAAGAGATTGACCAAATTTTTATGTGAAGGTCTTATATTAAGTATTATATGGTATACTAATCAGTGTGATGTTAGCAATAGCTGGAAAACAAAACTTTTTTTATGTGTATCTTTTATTGGTTTGTATTTGATCAGTGACTTAACGTTTCAGTAAAGATCAAATGCTATGTCTCTCTGTGTGTTATTAACTAGAAAGATTTACTCAGCACCTCGAACTCTCTTTATTTCAGCATTGGAACTTGGAAGCCATATATTGCAGCTTTGCTGCAAGCTCTGTATCAAACTATCACCCAGTCCAGATTATACGCACTTTCTTTCTAATGACATTACTTTCACATGATTATTCCACTCATGCCATTTTCATAATTAAATTTTTCCTCACTTTATGAATTCTTCATGAACCAATAGTTCTATGTGCAATGTAAAAAGGGGGATACTACTTGTGTACCGAAGTTTGTACACTGCCTACTTGTAATTTTAACTTTTTAAATTGATAATTTTTAAATGTTTCACTAACTTAATTTCTAAATAATAATATTAAAATCTACCAATAGAAAAAATTATCAATGCAATACAATGAATTACTAAAAACCTAAGCAAAATTTAGTAGTTTTCACACAAAATTAAAACAAGTACAAAACAAATAATGTGCAAATAACAACATTCACGTGAAAATGACGTACGCTTTATGATTCTGCAAACCATATTTATTCATCTGCTTATGCTATCCACTTACTGGGCAATGATACACCCACTTACTAGACCATATCAGTGTGTGTGACTGATTTTGATGCCTCCCATAAGGTGTCAAATCGGTGGTACAGAAATTGCTATCAGTGACCGTAGCCCTCTCCATTATTAGCAAGATAGAATAACGTGCCTTTAAATAATTGTGTCAGGTTGTCCCGGTAATTGGGCCAGATGATGAATATTCACATTTCCTTGAACCATTCATATTTTCTCGAAGCCATTCATGCCAAAGTATGAATTTAAATGAAATCAGCGATTTGTTATCAAATCTTATACTTCATGGAGTTAAATGATCCCCTCTAACATGTCATATAATATGAAAAGACTTGGATTACGTGCGTTCACCCTATGACCCTATGAACTTCAAAGCATTGTAGTTTAATCGCTAATCTAGTGTGCGTTGTGACCGAATAATAATCACTTACAGAATTGTAAAATAGAAAATAAAATAAGGGAAAAAAAGAATGGAGATACAGAATTTACCATTTACTTAATTTTCTTTAGCGTTATAAGAGAATATAAATTGATTTAAAAATTCTGAACAATATTAAAGTCCAAATTCAAATTATTTAAAAAAATAAAATAAATTAAGGACCCGCTTTCTCATAAGCCATACCCAACAACACTTTGGAGAAGAAAGAATATGAAGGGTTTCCTCTTTCGGATGGCCCAACCATTGGCGGCCCAATGGTTCAGGCCCAGCTTCAGCCTTCTGCTCACGTCAGCCTTAGGAGCTACCAAGGATCCCTCCCCAACCTCCAACGACTCTACCTAGGAGAAGCACTAAAACGTCCTGTCTTGGGACCCCGACCCCCAAGGGAGACCGCCACAGTCACCACAAAAGGAAACTGCCCCTTTGTCCCACGCTGACATCGCCATGGGCGCAGCGCTGCTATCATATCAGCGCCTGCCACGCCCAATACTGTCACCCGTAGTGAATCCCAAGGAGGGTTGACCCCCTCCTCATCAACTCACACCATGTGCGCACCACCTTCCCCTATAAAGAGCCCCTTGGGCATACCATGAAAGGATCTTATCTGATGTATAGTTATTATGCTCATTTATATTAAGTCACATATACTCATACTGAATCATCCATTGTTATCTTCTTGTCATCATACTTGGTATAGTGTTTTCTAGCTTAGTCTTTACTTCTGCTAGTGGCATAATGGGCTTATAGATTCCAACAGTAGATCTATACTACTGTGATATGTAGAAGAATTGGCATGGCTAAATTTATTTCATGACTTGATTCACATCATCTCAGACTTCAAGGTTGCTGGTCAATTTTTGCAGCTTTTATTTTGTATGATCAGCTTCATACATGTTTGATACGAGAGGATCGAGATTTCCAAACTGTTATAAATATCTAAGCCAAAACAGAAAGATCATTCAATTAAGTGGGTATGTATAATGCATTCCACATGAATCATGACTGGACTTATTTTTAGAAAAATAATAAAATATAATTGATTGTAATCCATAAGAATTATAAATAATTCTAAAACGATAAAAGTATACACTAACAACAAATCAAGAAGATAAACTAACAAAAACTATTTAAAAAAGTAGTTTTTTTATATTTCAGCTATATGACAAGTCTCAATTCTCAAAAGACCTATTCACTTGAATTCTTAATCCTCCATGCACCAACGCAGCAAGCATGTGGAAAGAAAAATAAATTGACGAGCCAATAGTGTAATGTAATAGGGTTTAACTTTTATGTTGCAGAAAAGTTTGTCTGTCTCTCTCATAAAAAAAAGTGAATCCTTTGCAAAACAGTTTGTGTCAAAAAATTTGCCTATGTATTTTGGGGAATATAAAGTATGTGGCAGATCAAAACTTCTCCAGCAATTGCATGAATATTTTTCTCAATGTAATTTGTAATAACTACATTCCTAAACCAATGAGTCAACTTTACTTTGTGTGGAAAAACCGAAAATGGGTCATTCACATTTCATAACGGACTTGAAATTACTCTTAGAGTGCATTTAGAGTTCATAGGCCCAGTATATTTTTTGTCTTGTGGGTTAACAGCAAGCCTTGGACACTACCTTACATAGTATTGGGAAGCCACTTACCAACCCAAAATGGTAACTGCATCAAAAGTCAATATGCATTGGCTCCATTCTCTCATACCCATAAAAGGATGTTATTTGTATCTTTTTCATACACTATTTTTAAGCTGCTTTATTAATCTGGTTAAAACTTAAAATGATGTTATTTGTATCTTTTTAAGAAAGAAATTCGCTAAAAAAAGGTTATGACTTAACACTACTTAAAAAAAAAACTATATAATGCTTTGATTAATTTCTCTTTCCTTTCCATTTCATACTCCAAACAAATCCATCCCCACACACATGTCTAGGGATCATCCATGCATGTCTCTATGTGCTTCTGGTTTACACTAGTGGACACAATGACTTAATGAGGATATATCATCTATCAATACCACATAAAGAAACAAAACTGGAAGCTGATAATCAAAACAGAAGAAAAATTGCATCGATCCCACAATGGCCTTTAATTTGATCCAAGCCTTTATTTGAAAACTACAAAAACGTATCACACATCCCAATATACCAAAAGCAGGTCGCAGACCCTCTTACAATATAATTTACACGACTTACACAAATTCTCTCTTTCTACCTCCCCCGAGTTAAAGTGAAAAATGCTTTCATTATCATTGCCAGGAAGACGAGGATGTAACGAAGATAGACTCTGGTTGAAAACATCCACCGTTTCGAGAAATTTTAGTTTGATATCTCTTCCTTCCCCTAACCCCTTCTTCTCTTTTGTGAAGGGAGTGGATGATATTTTTGAGTATATATTTCTAAAGCTTCAATTCCAATCCCACTTTTAGCTCGTACTAACTAAATTTAATCGTACTCAGCCAAACTAATTTGCTTTTGTTAAGACAAAGTAAAAACCATACATCTTTGCTATTCAATGTTCTCTTCTCTTGTTCTCTAATAAAGGCAACCACCGATTGCAACCTCAGCTAAATCCAAAAGGTGTCTTTAAAGTTTGCAAGCCCCTTTGTCGTTACTTAAAATTTCAGGCCAACGATGATAGTTATTTGCTTGTAGTTTATCTTGCTGGACTAATATGCCCATGTATCTCAATGTCAACTATCACTATTGATAAACAAAAAAACAAAATTTTAATGTGGCCACAGCCTAGCTGCACCATTTTTGTTTTCTACTTCATCTCCCTGAATATATATATATATATATCAGCACATAGAGAATGGTTGGGTGGGCATTTGTCTATTGTGAAAATTTTGTTCAGCGCAATTTCATTCAAATATACAGTTAACTAATTTTTTTTTCCTGTACCAATGAATTGAGAGAAATTTCAAATAATAAGAAAAATATATTAATAAGACACTTATAATTATATGTCCACCATTATCCATATATGCAGAAGATATCACATCACCCTCATTCTGAAAGGACCTATATTAAGCCACAGGAGGACAATACAGCTAAACTGAAAACAAGATAAACAGTGTCACCATTTTAATTTCCATTTGGTTTTTAACCCAAGCCAGTCGAGTGGAACTTGTTCCAACACAAGTACTTGAAGGAACCAAAACACCATCAACCGCAGAACTATTGCTTAGCATTAACACTTTAACAGTTCAACTTCACACAAAACAAACACAAATCCAAAATTCAAAGCTCTAGGAAAATATTCTGTCCTCTTTCTTTCTCTCTCTCTTGAAAGGGAAGGGGTTGATTTGGACACTTTACCAAATAAACTTGATTAACAGCAAAGGGAAGCTTCGTCATCAATCATTCTAAGCAAGTGGTGAACTGCCGTTGCAATGTCATCTACTGAACCAAGTTGGCATCCTTCTTCAACCTTCATAAGAAAAAGAGTCAATTTCAGCTAAAGAATCTCTCTCTAAATTTTCATAATCTTATACAATGACAAACATTTTCCATTAATCAAAAGTAAGATCTTAGATTCTCAAAGTACTTCATGAAAAGACTCTTCTGCCTCATTTACTATTTAAGCCTCAAAACTTTTCCAAATTATGCTGACGAGGCAGAAAAAGGAAATGGCACAGTATTATTGTATAGCTCATACCTTGGCATTGATAGAATAGAGTACTAAGGGGTCTATGGTGGTGACATTGAGATGTAGGATGGTTAGGTTGAGTGTTTGAAAGCCAGCAACTAACTTTGATAACTTCGTGGGGCTTCTCCGCGAGAGAATTCGAAGATTTGCATGGGTCTCGATCAAAGTTACCTCAATATCAGCTATGGCTGCCTTAGTTTTAGATGTGTATTTGTTAGGAGCCTGGGACCATGTGTACTGAGGATGCTCAAAAAAATGAGCAAAAGGGGGTCTCATGAATTTGGAAATGGCCGTATCTTCACTGGTTTTTGCTACTCCTTGATGTAAAAGCTGCAACTTTTGAGCCTCAAGGGACTGCAAGAGGTGCTCCAGCTCCTTAACAAATTCTATAGCGCCACCCACTACAGAGGCCTGGTCACCCTAAAACATACAAAATTTGCACATTGAATCAGTAGAGGTATTTGACAAAAGGGAACAGAGAATTTATTTATTATACTTGTCTAGTGACCCAAAGTATGATATCTAACAACACGTTGGGTTTCAAACTTCAATTATTTGGCACCACAATAAGTGCAATACGGTTCAGGCTTCGTACTGTTTTCTTTCTCACGTTCCAAAGAAATAAATATCCAACATAAAGAACTATATCCCTGTACACTTAACACAGCTCATATTTATTCTCATGAAGTTTTGAATATATGCTTGTACGATTTTAGCCTTGCGTTGCTTAGCAGTTTTTTGGAAAGAGAATTTCCACAACTTTGCTATTGGGGACCATAACATATTTCCTAGCATTGTTGTGAAAATTTCCAAGTACATGTTTATGAGAAAGACAAGACAGAGAGAGGCTGAAAAGGAAGGAAGGATGAAAGGCAAACCCTTTGAACGTAGGATTCAGGCATGAGTGAACGCAGAACAGCAAGATGCTCATTCATCTGCTTCCGGCGATTTCTTTCTACTGTAATGTGGGTCATTCTTTGAGTCTCAGCCTCTTCTTTGTTCTCGCACACCCTTGGCTTTCTTCTTCTCTTCTTCCTCCTGCCAGTGGCTTCTGGTTCGCCAGCTTTGCGTTTTCGTGTCCCCAATGCATTGTTATCAAATGCAGGGTCACGTTCATGATATTTCACTCTATTTTCTTCTAATAAGAAACTAGTCTCTGAAGAGTCATGGTTGCTAAATGGTGTTGCAGAGATAGTGTCATAGATAATGAAGTTGGAAAACTCATTAGATGAAAGAGTTTCTAAAGCCATTACTCTCTCCAACTGTTGGTCTGAATTCTCTTATGAGAAGTAAGTTACCCAAGAGGCTTCGTGCGTTGTTAATGGAACATAACAATCATTTATAATAGCAAATCCAAGTCATTGCAGTTTGAGACAAAGGAAGAGATTTTCAAAGTTGATTAAATTTTGGGAAAGGGTAATTTAGATTAGAGGATACGCAGCACGTGAGAATGACAGAAAAGGTGTTATGCTTTTCAGCAATAAGAAAGTGAAGGAAAAGGAAACAGGTCCCTCACTCAACCTAGCTTTGGTTCCCTTCACAATTTCATAGGTGCTGTCAAAGTCTGGCACAGTTTCTGCAAGGGAGAGTGGGTGGGGGACCCAAATCTATATTGAAATATGCATACAAACAACAGAACAAGCTGTACAATAGCTACTCCTCACATTCAAATCTCTGTTTGGGTTTGCAGGAAATGGCTGACCCACATACCCGAGATTCCCTTGTAAATAATTTAGATTTTAGACAAAGACTATAGAGTCTACTTGGGAATTTATTGTACATTCTACATGTCAAAGGCATATCAACATTTTGCCGTTGTTGACTTGTGAATCCAACGATGGCTGTTATAATCCATGCAGGGTTGTACAAATACTGAATCAACAATATAACTTCCCTGATAAGAACTCATAAAATTGTTAGAGCTGTTTAGAACTTCATTATCGTAATATACGAAAACTGCCAAGAAGAACATTTTGATGACATCTGTGAACTGAGTTGGTGAAATGAGATGTTATTTTACAACTTTTCTACTATGACCAGCGCAGCCCCTACTACAAGGGGCGTACTTCCCGTTGTTACGTTGATTGTCAAGGGAACAGTACCATCTGATCCAAGTACTCCCTTTGATATAACAAAGTGTATTGAAATTGATCGGGGACCACCAGGTACTTGACAAGGAAAAAAATTTCAAGTCACCTTGCTAATACGTGATAACAAACATGCAAATGTAACTGCAGAAAATTAAGTCTAGTTTGAGTAAAATTTTGTAACCATTATTATCAATGTCGTATTCTTACGGCATGCAAATGTGTTCGTGTTTGTTGGATGAAAGAGAGATGTTACAAACAATTTTAGCCTTATGTGCTGATGATGACATATGAAGGACAGAAGTCGAGCTTGGACCATGGTCCAAGCTGTCAGATCTCTGTTAGGCTAACATGTGACTGTAGTGTAGGCTTCCTTTCACGAAAAACTACTTCACCCGAGGCCGCAGCGCTTAACTTACATTAAAATCCCCATAATTCATTTTCCACGTTATTTTCCCATTCTATATTGGCTAGGAGATTGAAGCTTCTTTTGCCCCTCCCTCTACTTTTGTCACTGCACATCATATATAAAAACTTCTAAAAGCATGCCACATCAGAAATGCATGAAAATGAAGTATAGCAAACAAACAACGTCTAAGTATGAGTTGTGAGTTGTGTTTGCTGTGAGTGTCCAATCAGTGTATGCAAAGATAACGTACAGTTGCATGTGCATGCAAATGGCTATCGTTAATATTTAAGTGCCATCAAGGATGAACACTCTGTTCAGACTCTTACCATTCTACTGTCAAGGTATTATTAGAATTGTAGCCCAGAGCTTCTAATTTCATGACTACCTTTTACGATCAATTATAATTGTCACACTTACCGGATTATTAACACACAGGGCAGAAAAAATACCTATTTTTAAATTAGATAATAACACTAACAGAGGACTACAACACAGCCAATGGCTGTTTCACCAAAAACTATAACTTCATACAAAACTAATCTGCAATTTCAACCACAGTTGATAAAATATAGGCATATACAAGCAAGATACAAGGGCTGTGCTTGATGACACAAAAAGGGCATCATCAACAGACAAGTTTACCAATCCCGTTGGATATTTGCCTGCATACAAATTATTAAAAAAATTATAATTGAAAGATAGAGAGAAAGCATATGAATGTAGCTAAAGAATATCTTGTACACCAGAAGAAACGTAGTCACCAAGTTCCAATTAAGGGCTTCTTCGAGTGCTGAAGTTTTACTGCCAGGAATAGTATCGGCCAGCATTAGAATTGACACTGCACATTCAAATATTCAAACCAAATCCATCATCATATGCCAAATTGACAATTACATTGTTGGCGTACTCAACAATGCTCAGCTGTGAAATTACGATAATGATACTGAAGTAAATCCATACCACTGCATATTTTATGCCAGTTCAGTTCAAGAGGATCGAATTGCATCAATAGAATCTATACACTCCAAATAAGTGGAAACCTCACAAGTTACAACAAAGTCAACATGACCCATCAAATTATGTTGGACAGTGACTGAATGAATAAAAAGCAAGTGAGAATAACATGTAGGTTGTCAACCAATACCATGGTAAAATAGTACAGGTTGCATTGCACACGGTATTCATTATTAGTTTTCATCCATTGATGCCAAAAGAATGCCCTTCCAAGTAAGATACTTTAACATAGTGAGACATCCAGCCATCCTCCAGGAACTTCTTTGACATGCCTTTCCTTTCTAGAAGAATAGTTAATAACCTGACTTGGGCATCATGAAAAAGTAACGAGCTTAAAACTGTTGACTTCATACAAAATGACTAAACAAGCACTGGAATCTGGATTAAGCTTTATCAGAACACAGAGTGTAACATCCCCGTCTCGAGCCGGTTCAATTAACATACACATGATATAAACAGAAACAGAAAAAGTTAGCTCGTATTTTCAGAAGTTAAGTCTTCCGCTGTTTCTGTTTATATCATGTGTATGTTAATTGAACCGGCTCGAGACGGGGATGTTACATTTATGGTATCAGAGCAGTTTCTCTAGGAGAGCCTGTGAAATATTGCATGAACTGTTCGGGTTGTTATGTTCTTGAGTTTTTCTTGGAATACTATGATATGCATGTCTGATCACCGAGTGTGAGCGTAGCTAACTCATTCCTTTGTGTGAAATATGCAGAATTATGGTTCGCCCAAGAAGGACTTCTGATCCTCCTATTGACCCGACCGATCCAATATTAGCAGATTTGGCAAGACCCCGACTTAACCAGCGGGGAAATACTTCACAGCCAGATCCAATGATAATGGCCTTAACTGAGATGCAACAAAATATGGCTGCAGCTAGGCAGCGAGAGCTTGAAGTGATGATGAAAGCAAATCAAGATCTGTTAGAGGCTAATAGGTTGGCCAATCAAGAAATGATGGCAGCAAGCAGAATGGCGAATATTGAAATGATGAGATTACTCTTGGTTGAGGTGAGGGCGGGTGGGCAAGGTCCACAGCCACAGCCTGAGCCACAACCACAACAGCCTGTTCCTCCTTCCTCAAAATCCCATTGTTGTGGAGGGTGAAGGAAATCATGATGTGAATGAAGAATCTAGTCACAGGGGTGGTGTGGCACAGCCAGCCACTAATAGAGAGCAAAGAGAAAGAATGCTAAATGCCTTCCGAAAACATGCACCACCAAATTATAAAGGAGGCATTGATCCTATTGCTGCAATTCAGTGGTTAGAAGAATTGGATCGCATTTTTACTGTCATGGAGTGTGATGATCAGCAGAAATTGTTGTATGTTTCTTATATGTTGCAGAATGATGCAGCTGATTGGTGGAGAAATACCCGTCTGCCCTTGGAATGTCAGGGTTATGCTATTACCTGGCCTTTATTTGAAAGGCAATTCTTGCTGAAATACTTTCCGGCTGAAGCCCGGATAAGGAAGAAGGGTGAATTTGAAGAACTAAATCAGGGTCAGATGTCTATTGATGAATACTTGAATAAGTTCAATAAGCTGGCCAAATACTCTCATTTCCAGAGAGCTCCACCTACAGAGGATGACTTGATTTTTAAATTTCATAGAGGATTACATGATAACATCTCTGAAAAACTTGCAGGTGACTCATTTGATACTTTTGCTGCACTTGTTAAAAAGTGTAAAAATATTCAAGAATATTACAGAAGGAAGCATAAGGACCAATCTGCTCCTAATTCTGGTCCTAAAAACACCTCTGGGAATTCTAAAGGAAAAGGGTTGCAGGTTAGACAGTCTGATGGTAAGTTCAAAAAGGCGGGAAATTCTAAGCCTGGAAATATTAAGCCTGCTTCTCTATGTGCTACATGTGGTAAAGTTCATGCAGGGGTTTGCAGAAAAGAGCAAAGACTGTGTTACAAATGTGGCCAACCTGGGCATTTTATTAGGGACTGCCCCTTTAATGGGGGACAGGTTTCTACTATTCAGGCCACTCCGGCTCCTATTGTGGTTGAGGAACCATCTCTACCTCTCCCACCTCCAGTTGCCCGAGTATATGCAGTGACTCAGCAAGAGGCTGAGAGGTCAGCTAGTTTGGTGCGAGGTATGATTTCTATTCGTGATGAAATGCTTAGTGTTTTGTTTGATTCTGGTGCCACGCATTCTTTTATTGCTGATTATGTAGCTGAAGCATTTGGTCTGCATGTGAAAAAAATGAAAATTCCTATGCGTATTGTTACGGCTGTGGGAAGAGTTTTTAATGAAGACTATGTTTGTGAAAATGTGAAATTCAAGTATGAAGGCAGGGAATATTCTGCCGACTTTATTGTCTTGCACCTTGCTTCTGTGAATTTAATTCTGGGGATGGATTGGTTGTCCAAGTACTGTGTGAAGATTGACTGCTGCAGTAAAACCATTTCTGTCTCATCTCATGATGAAGAAAGGGAGTCTCCTTATTTGTCTGTACTTCAGGTGGTAAAGGCCTTGAAGGAAGGAGATTCCGGGTATGTTTTATTGGGAGGTCTGGTTGGCGTCAACAAGGAGCCAATTTCTGTTATTCCGATTGTCTCTGAGTTTGAGGATGTCTTTCCGGATGAAATTCCGCACTTTCCTCCAGAGAGGGAAATTGAATTTGCAATTGACTTATTGCCTGGTGTGGGACCTATCTCTCTTGCCCCATACCGGATGTCACCTCTAGAATTATCTGAATTGAAGAAGCAGATTGAAGACTTGTCCAGTAAGAATTTTATC